CCAGACTGCAGAGCCATTTGAACTGCAAGGTGGGCGGTTCAAGCTCACCAGCTGCTCCTCAGAAACCCTATAAAGGGTCGCTATGGGTCAGAACTGACTCAATGGCACTTCACAACAACAACAACAAGCAGAATGCTAAATTCAAGAGTTGTTATTACTTACTGTTTACTATCAGTCTAGAAGGCATTACTGAAAAGTTTAAGCCCTTTATTATATACAGAAACCTAATGTGCTCTTCATTATGTGCACAGGGACTGTATATATCAAAATAAGTAGAAACTTAGAATCCTTTAGGCTAACTTTCCAAGCAAATAGTGGAAATATTTACAGAGTATATTTAAGCAGTGAATATGATTCTAAACTAATGTTGCTATAATTCTGAAAACTCATGACATTAGCAATATAGAAAATTGAATGAATTTAGGGATTGTGATAGAAATGGTTATAATCATACCATAAAAAGGCATACTAAATAAATAAGAAACAAGTATACTCAGGTATTTTATAGTCTACATGTGAAGATTGTTAACTCTACTGTAAACTAACATTTCTAATGCATGTTCTAAGGACTTTTTGAAATGGGAAAACAGTGTTCCGTTTTCAGGAACTAGCTTTAGGAATTCCTGGATTAAGCAAAATTAATCAGGTATCTTTATAATAGTCAGCTACCAAATCAAAAGGTATCTGATTAAAAATATCTCCTGAGACTTTAGTATTTTAATATACATTGCAAATTGCCAAAAGAGGCCTGTAGTATATATACCTTTTTTATTTGTGTATGTAATCCCTCCTTTTCATTTATTAGAACTAAATCTAACATGAAACACATGTTGGGAAATTTTGTTTTAAATTAAAGTATAAAGTGGCATGTAAGTGATGGCAGAACAATGTAGTATATTCTCCTAGTTAAAGAAGAAAAAGAGGTTTAAGTGAAGGAGATTTTGCTATTAAAGTGTTTGTGTACCTGACTACTATTTTTTTATTTATTTAAATTTGTTGTAAGTGCACTGCTGTCATAACTGTTACCTTACTTTGATGAAAATTCTTTGTTGTTTCTTCTGAAATTCATTGACGGTGGACCTTTCCTTGTGTGTTTTTGTATTTTGGACTAGGAGCCCATCTTCAGCTGGGTTTTATCTGTGGAAAACCTGTTTCCAGGGTTGAGGGTGTGACCTCTGCAGCTGCAAAGACTTCCCAGGGCATCACTGGCCTGAGAACATTTATTGTTGATTTCTCAGTTTGGAGCTTGCAGATGGCTTAAATTTAAACCCCAAATGTAAGTGTGAGTAGGCCTATTATGAATTCTGAGGAGAACCCCACCTCAGTCTAGGGCCCTGATTGAGGAAAAGTTTATTGGAATTATTATCTCCCTGGGCCAGTGAATGTTTTTTAAACCTACTCTTAAACTAGGGTGTAGTCAGTTCTAACTCTTAGTGATCCTGTATAGGGTTTCTGAGGCTGTAAATCTTTGTGGGAGCAGAAAGTCTCATCTTTCTCCACAAATAGCTGGTGGACTTGAATCACCAACCTAGTGGTTCACAGTCCAGTGCTTATTATATGGAGCCACTGTGTTCTCCAGCTAGTGATATAGTCCTTTGAAATTCTTGGCTTTATGTAGGTGTTTCATTTCCAGTTTTTTATCTTATGTTGTCCTAAAACATTGTCTCCTTTTTCAAATGTAAACTCCTTAATTACTGGGGAGTTCTGCAAATTACTTCTCTCCTGTTCAACTTCTACACAGTATTCTGGATTTCAGTTTCCTCAATGTTTTGGGGCCCTGAAAAATTTCATGTTTTTACTAATTTATTTATGCATTTAAAAGGATAGGTTTTGTTGTGTATTTAGGTAACATAGACTTCCTTATTGCCAGAAGTAGAAATTCTGCATTATATTTATAATTGGAAACAATGCTAAAGATACTCATTTAAAAAATGGCAAACTTTTAAAATATAAAAGTAAAACAGTTAAGATTCATGTGTTTATCAGTGGTGCTCTTTTCATAGTTTTTTGTTCTAATTTGCATACAAACCACTTACATCTATCTATTTGGATTGTTTTAGGAAAATGTCTTTTACTTTTCTTTCAGATGTAACTTTGAGTAATGGAAGATGATTGAAGACAAGGGACCTCGTGTTGCTGACTACTTTGTTGTAGCCGGATTAACTGATGTTTCAAAGCCTCTTGAAGAAGAAATCCACTTCAATGATGCCTGTCATAAAGTAGCTAAACTAAAAGAACCTATCACAGATGTTTCAGTTATTATTAAATCTATCGGGGAGGAAGTGCCACGGGATTATATGTGTATAGATGTTACTCCAACTGGATTGTCAGCTGATCTCAATAATGGAAGTCTTGTGGGGCCACAGATTTACCTTTGCTATAGAAGAGGACGAGATAAGCCTCCACTCACAGATCTGGGGTACATGCTTTTTAAAATGTTTTGTTCTTATTGATCCGAATAATACTCTGTATGGATTTGAGTATTGAAGGTAAAAACATCCAAGCAGCTTTTCTACTGTCTAGGGAAAGAATCTTGTATAAAATTTTTTATTTGGCTAAAATATAATTGCTGTTTCTAAAAGAGATGCTTGGTTTTAAAAAACTGCTCTCCTCACCCCCCTCAATTTTTTTAAATAGGGTACTAAAACAGGTTGTGTTTGCATCTGATTGTTTCCATTTTGTGGTTTACATCAACAAACACAAAGCTTAATTTGAATTTAATCTTATATTATCTTTATTGATAAGAAAAATTTACCATTTAATATCTAGGACTGTGCAATTAAAACGTATTAAAATTGAAATATCACATTGACACATTTAGGATCAGTTCATGCTGCCTGGATTTTGAGGATGTTTTATATATGAATAGTTGTATGTTTGTATTTTTTCATTTAATTTTTAGGGTCTTATATGACTGGAAAGAAAGATTGAAACAGGGCTGTGAAATTATTCACAATACTCCTTATGGACGCCCTGCCAATATTAGCGGCAGTACCTCATCACAAAAGATTTATATCACTTACCGAAGAGCCTCTTCTGAAAACATGACTCAGAATACGCTGGCTGTCACAGACATATGTATTATTATACCCAGTAAAGGAGAAAGTCCACCACACACATTCTGCAAAGTTGACAAAAACCTCAATAACAGTATGGTAAGTGATTATTTTGCACTGATAAAATTAACCATTGATGAAAAGAGCATACTCTGTTTTTGTAAAACAGCATAGCACAGGTACAGAACTGAAAAATACATTTTAAAAGATGTTGAATATTTTCTTTTTAGGGGAAGTACTTTGGTTGTGCTTTCAAAAGGAGCTGTGCAAAATCTACCTTTATTTTAATTCTACACTCTTGTCTGGTCTAAGAAGCCAGGTTGACACATTGGATCCTAAGCATAGGGTTCATTGTGGCTTACAGAGTAAGGTGTCAGGCTGTGCTCAGACTGTTCCCTTCTATAAGTCTCATGACTTCCTGAGCCTGAGTTTCCACATTGATGAGATAGAGATAAAGTAGTGTTTTATTTCACAAGCTTTTTATGCAGATTTGATTAATTAATATTTACAAAGAATTTAGAGCAGTACCTGGTATACAATAAGTGCTATGTATGTAAATGTTGTTGGTAGTGCCCCTTAACTCATGGCTAGCTCCATGATAGGTTAGGGATGGGACGTTTGTGATCTCTAGGGTTTTCATTGGCTGATTTTTATCAGCAGGCTTTTCTTTCTAATCCATCATAATCTAGAATGTCCTCTGAAACCTGTTCAGAGTCACAACTATGCCCCATAACCCTGCTTTCCTATGTGGAACGTGAGACATCTACCACTTAGCCACCAATGCTGCATATATGTGCTTTTTGTTGTTGTGAAGTGGCATGGAGTCAGTTCCCACTCAAAGCGACCCTGTATAGGGTTTCCTGGAGTAGCTGGTGGGTTCCAACCACCAACATTGTTTGTTACCAGTCCAGTGCTGATTGTACAGTGCGATAAGTGTAAATATTAAATATTTCTTTGGCTGACTCTGCTCTGTTTTACCAGTCCCTTTTTTGTAAATTTATTATCTAAAATGGGGAGAGTTCTTTTTATTTTACTTTTGTCTAGTGTTAAAGCTTCTCCTAAGTTTTTAAAAGAAACATTAGAGAAACAAAATCCTCTTAAAAATCCCTGATACTATGGTCCTTAGATAATCTTCAAACCTAGAACTGAACCCATTCCCAAATCACCTATCAGCCAAATAAGAGACAGGCCTGTGAAGTGAACAGTATCACTCACACACGTGCTTCTCAGAACAACCACCCATACAAGACCAAAAGGGCAGCATTTGTCCAAATACAAAGTTCTGAAAGCAGGAAGGGGCAGGAAGGAAGGATGAATGGAACAGAGGAGCCTAGGGGGCAAGTAGGAAGAGTGCTGTTGCATTGAGGGAATTGCAACTAATGTCATGAAACAAAACGTAGGTGGGTTGTTGGATGGGAAATAAATTTGCCAAAATCTGTAACCTTTTACCCAAATCACAATAAAGTATTCAAAACAAAAGCAAAATATTCCATGAATTTAGCAGTACATATCTTTTTTTAAGAAATTTTTGTTTCCATTGACTGAAAGATAGTAAAAGCAAGTTAGATACATATTTGGGATAGATGTACAGTAACTTCTTTTCTACTTCTGTTAAGCATACAACCTATTGCTGTTAGGTGCCCTCGAGTTGGTTGTGACTCATATCGACCTTATGTACAACAGAACAAAACACTGCCTGGTCGTGAGCCATCCTTACAGTAGTTGTTATGTCTGAACCCATTGTTGCTGTTACTCTGTCAGTCCATCTCATTGGGGGTCTTCCTCTGACCCTCCACTTTACCAAACAAGATGTCCTTCTCCAGAGACTGGTCCCTCCTGACAACATGTCTAAAGAATGACAGATGAAGTCTCACCATCCATGCTTTTAAGGAGCATTCTGGCTGTACTTCTTTCAAGACACATTTGTGTTTTTTTTCTGGCAGTCCCTGGTACTTTCAGTATTCTATGCCAACAGCATAATTCAAATGCATCAGTTCTTTTCCTGTCTTTCTTTTTCATCATCCCAACTTTCACATATATATGTGGTGGTTAAAAATTCTTCCATTTTTCCTCAAAGTGACACCTTTGCTTTTAAACATTTTTTAAAGAGGTCTTTTGTAGCAGTTGTGTGTAATACAGTATGCCTTTTAATTTCTTCGCTGCTGCTTCCATGAGTGTTAATTGTGGATCCAAGCAAAATGAAGTCTTTGACAACGTCAGTCTTTTCTCTGTGTATCATGATATTATTTATTGGTCCAGTTGTGAAGATTTTTGTTTTCTTAACATTGAAGTGTTGTAGTCTTTGGTGTGGTGCTGTGAATTAATGCACTGGACAGCAAAGTTGGTTTGAACCACTAGGTTGGTAGTCTAAGCTTACCAGCTGCTCCTCGAAAACCCTATATAGGGTCACTATGGGTTGGAACCAACTCAACAGCACTTAATAACAAAGTGACACAAGCAAGGTTTTGTTATCTGCATATCCCAGATTGTTAAGTAGTCTTCTTCCAATCCTGATGCCGAGACATACAACCTGTTGTTGTTAATTGCCATTGAGTGGGTTCCAACTCATAGCCACCCTGTATAGTTTGAACCACCAACATTGTGATTCAGACCGACCTTGTAGTCCAACGCATTAACCCACAGTGCCACACAGGAGTCTTCTCACTCCTCCTTGCACTGAATAAGTAGCAACTAATAGTTCCACCTTATATGGCCAGAAAGTATTTTATTTTATTATTTTTATTTTATTTGGTGCAAGTTTATAGAGCAAGTTGGTTTTCTTCTCAACAATTCATATACATTTTGATTTGTGACATTGATTGCAACCCCCACTATGTAACAGAGCTTTCCCACTTCTTCCCTGTGTTTACCATTACCATTTCATCTTTCTCTCTTGTCTCTTCCAGCCTTCTAAGCATTATCCTTTGACAAATGCCCCTTTTGACTTTGCATGGTTAATTCTTCTAAGATTGTACTTTCCTGGTGTTTACCTTATTGGCCTGTCTTGTGTTTGGCTGAAGGTTGAGCCTAGGTGAATTCAGTTAAAGGCTTGAAGGCTGACTGATGGCTGTAGTCTCAAGGTCCCACCAGGATATCATACCAATAAGCTTGGTCTTTTTTATGTTGGGTTTTGCTCTATATTTTTTTCCCATTCTTTCTAGGACCTTCTGTTGTACTCCCTTTCAGAGTGGTCAGCAGGGTAACTGGATACCATCTAGTTTTTTCGCTCTCAGGGTTGTGAAGGTTGTGGTTCACATGGTCCATTAGTCCTTTGAACTAATTATTTCCAGTCATCTTTGGTTTACTTCAATCTTCTTTGCTGTGGATGAGGAGAGCCAATTGTTGCACCGTAGGTGTCATTTCCCAAGTTTTTAAGACCCTAATTGTTACTCATCAAAGTAAGATGTAGAATATTGTCTTTGTGCACTGTGTTTTGCCAGTTGATCTTTGTATTCACCAATACTGTGGTTCTGAGCCCCAGGTCCAGTGACTCATTCACTCAAGGTGTTTTGTTATGATTAAAAAGTATAACTTTGCACCCTGAATGCTCTACTGTACTCATGGATTCATTTGCATACATATGTAGAAATATTCTTTGTTACATACATTTGTGGGTGTAGTTCCATTTGCCTTCCATGTACCTGTTTTAGGATGGGCTATCTAGAGAAGCAGAGCCAGTGAAGCTTATATATGTATGTATAAATAGAGGTTTATATCAAGGAAATGGCTCGCTCAGTTTATAGAGGTGGGCAAGTCCCAAGTTTGTTGGTCACATATCAGACTGGAGGCTTCTGACTCATGTAGCTGTGCGGCTAATGACCCAAGGTCAGCAGGTCAGATGGCAGGCAGACAGGTTCAGTAGGTAAGAAGGTAGGCTGCTGATGTCTCCCAGAATTAGCAGACATCAGAGCAGGCCACTGGCTCAATTGCAAGCAACCAGAGGTCAAGAGGATAAGCCAGCGACAAAAATCAGACCCAGCAGAGAGCCAGCAAGCCTTCCCTAAGTAGCTAGTATATTGAAAGCAAGCCACACCTGAGGAAGCGTCCCTTCAGTTGATTGGCTGCTCATAATAGATCTCATTATAGAGTTGATTACATTATATTATATCTCATTAGGAGGAATAATTACAAATTACATCTCAATGGGAAAACCACTAACAATCCTGGCCCAGTCAAGTTGTCACAAACTTTAACTATCACACCTGGTCGGCTTGTTTATCTATGTATTCATTCTTAGATGCTTAGGGCTCCTGGTGTGGCGCTGTGGGTTAATGCGCTGGATTGCAAAGTTGGTTTGAACCACAAAGTGAGTGGTTCAGGCTCACCAGCTGCTTCTTGGAAACCCTATACAGAGTCTCCATGGGTCGGAACTGACTTGATGGCATGTAACAACAAGAACAACAACACTGCCAAATAACTCTCATTTTATAACTTTTAAGATCACTATTTTGTATAGCAAGTTTATTTAGAAAAAGTAGAGCTGTTAACAGAACAACTGATTAAATCATCTATCTAATTCCTGGGGAACGGGAGTTATCTGAAAGTAAATTTTTGATTTGGTAAACCACAATGTGGATACTTTGTGTCTAAATTGAAAAATGTAAAACAGTGACTCTTCCTACTTTTTTGCTAAACTTTGTTTATATAAAATACTCTTGCAGTTTTGATATCTTGGCTCTTTTCCTTCAGAGCCTCTTAATTTTTACTGTCACTAGAACAAAACAAAATGGTTGCTGTCAAGTTGATTCAAACTCATAGTAACCCCAGTTGTTGCAGAGTGGGAACTGTGCTCCACAGGATCATCAAGGCTGTGTATGACCTTTGGGAAGCAGGTTGACAAATTTGTTTTTGAGACACCTCTTGGTGGGTTTGAACTGTTAACCTTTTGGTTAGTGTTCAGCACTTAACCATTTGTATCACCCAGGAACTCTTATGTCTTAAAGTCCCTGTTTTTCATTTTAGAATATTCTTTTTGGTTTCTTCCATATACAAGTGGTCATGCATTTTTGCCCTTTTGATAATCACAATGGTATTATTGAAGCTTTTTGGGTTTTTTAAAAATTGTGACTTGAATGAAGGCTTAAAGACAAGATCATCAG